ATTTCTCCTGACAGGAAGAAGTCCAGCAGACATTGGCTCAGTGACACACAGAGACATCTAAATTTCAGGATTTGTTTCCTGGAGGACTCTCAAGACGGTATGCTCTCAAACATGGGTACATTTGAAGTTCCTATCTTAGCACCTGAACCAAATAGCCAGACCTAACGATACTAAAAACCTTAAATGTTCAAGGACTTGCAGATGAACTTGCAGAGTTCTGAGATGCTGCCGGCCAGGATAACCATTGTTTCCTCACTGCTTGCAAAGTCTTGATCTCACGATGGTTTCTTCTTTTTCAGGGTTTAAAAAAACTCTGTTTGAGGACCTGAAGTGTCCCCGTGATCTAAAGGAGGGTGACTTCTTGGACATGATCAAGTCCACGTTCCCTCAGCTGGCCGGGGACAAACCGCTGAACATCTTCAAGTCTGACCACAGTAAGAGACTCCAGAGGCTCATGCTGAAGACCCTGACACCAGAAGACATCTACAGGACCACGAAGCCCACCGGGCTTGAAAAGGCTGTCCTCTATGTCAAACTTAAGGTCGACACTAGAGTAGTTTTCCTCACTGCTGCCACAGATATAGTTATAGTCATGAAAAGTCTGTTAACAGGTAAAACATTAAAGGAAAAATGATAAATAAGTGTTCAAAACTAAATACCTCTTATGGTGCGTTTGATTTCTTCTGCTTCCAGCTGACTCTTTAGGAAACAAAACAAATGACAGCACGAACACACCACTGAACAGAGCAGAACATTTCCACTGTAATAACAGATCAACTGTAACTTGAATTGCTGCTCTGAACTTGGTTCTGTTAGTATTGAGATATCTTCATGGAAGTTTGTGTTTATTTGGCAAAAATGGTGATGAAATATGTCCTAAAATAAGCTTTTCCCACTGTGTCTGTCTGAGATACAGTCAGATGAGCCAAAACAAATGGCTTTGACCTGCGTTAAAACCATGTTCTGATTGACTAAAATGCAAACAACTAAAACAAGAAGAATAACTGATTTAAATGACGTTAGTACTTTCTGAGTTTTTGTAAAGTTGTTTTGTTTATCTTACAGACAGGAGAGGAAGACGAGGAGGAAGAACTTCACCTGTTACCCACAAGTGATAAACCTTTAACACACAGTGACAGAGTGCTTATGAAAGGCGATGAAGCCATTTCAAGGTGAATTAAAAACTGAAAAAGAAATGTTGAGTTATTTTGTTTAAAGGTCAATGAAACAGTGTGTCCTTTTTACAGGCTGTTAATGAAATATTAGCAAGTATACCACCCTATAAAGATAAAGATCCCCTAACAAACACAACCGTTTGAATTGCTGGCTTGTATGTAAAAGCAAAACATTTACAAACACAATGTCAAACAGTTGACAGATGACACTCTACTCTTTACATAAAACCAAATAAAAACCTCAATCAGGATTTTTTTTTCTTAAGTATTTTTATTCATATTTAGGCATGAAAAGATGAAAAAAGATCCTGATTGAGGTTGTTATAATTCATGCATGACAGGGTTAAATAACAATAATTACAATGTATCACGTCATACACCTATAGTAACATTAAACGACCAGTGGGTGACAGGGTATAGAGTGACACATCAGCGTCCAATGTAGTGGTTCATGTGTAAGTGTAACATCAACACTGACACAAATACAGAAAACAGCCTTTGAATAGCTGTTCACTGTAGTGACCACTATGTGTGAAAGGGTTACAGGCCTGGACTGGTAGTCTTGCATATTGTGCATTTCCCCTATTGGGCTGGCGAGCCTGTGGACTAATAGTTGAATGTAATTTAATTCTTTGTCGATATAATTATACGGGCCAGTCCATCCGTGCCCGACTAGACTGTTACAATAGATCATAGAAAATAAAAATGATCTACACAAAAAATTATGTTTGAAGGCAAAACGACTGGAATGAATTAAAACACTGATCCATGACCAAGAAATATTCTTGATTTTATAATAAATTCACAAAATGAACTAAATTTTAATTTGTATTCATTACCCTCATTGAGAACTGCAACCATCAGTAAAAAGAAACCTACTGAAGGAACACTCATTAGCTATTTCTATAGTCTTAAAATTATTTGTACCCAACATTTAAAACATTTAATTGCTCCATATTCTTGATATTAAAAATACGTTATTATCGACCAACATAATAGCCAGCTCCTCACAGCTTTTAAATATCATGATTTCAAATAAAGTTTTGATTATTATATTAATGTGAGGTTTGCAAGCAATTTGTTATAATTCTTGGCTTGTCCGTATTTTTCAGTCAATATTCATAAATGAATTTATGAAAATCTTTGTTTCTTACCAGCTCCGTTCAACAACTAGACTATACCAAAGTGGATGTCATGGCCAACAGCTCAGCATCACAACTACAGCTCTTGCTAACAAAAGATGCTGCTGTAAATGGGTCTAGTGATGACAAACATGGAGTCGTGGCATTAAACCCAGAGCTGCAGGTGGCAAAACGTTCGAAGGCAAAAGAGCTCCAAAGTAGTTCGGAGACAATTCAGACAAGTACAATAGCCTGTAAAGTGTGTGGACTCCAGGGAAACCAGGACAGCTTGATTCAACATGCATGGAGTCACGTGGATGAGTCACCGGCTGTTTGTGGAATTTGTGGAGAACGTTTTGAATCAGTGGAAACATTAAAGGGACATCTTACAAATGACCCAAAATATCACAACTCTAATAACCAAATGTCTCTGCAAACAGAGGCGAAACAATACAAATGTGAAACTTGCGCTAAATCATTTGGTCTAAAGGAGCAGCTGGAAATTCATTGCAAGGAGCACGCTGGCCTACAGAAATACCACTGCAACATCTGCGGGAAAGCTCTCTCCCATCTTCGATCAATGAGACGGCACAAGCTGACTCACACAGTGGAGCGACCCCACAGTTGTGAAGTTTGCGGGAAGCATTTCAGATGCCCGCACGTTTTAAATTCTCACAAGAAAATCCACACGGTCAGGGAGCGGCCGTATCTCTGCCACATCTGCTGCAAAAGCTTCATGTCAAACAGCGTTCTGTCGACTCACATGAAGATTCACAGCAATGAGAGGCCACACATCTGCTTGGTGTGCAAAAAGGCTTTTATTTATAAAGGTAGTCTAAAGGCTCACATGCGAATGCACACCGGCGAGAAACCGTACAGCTGTTCCCAGTGCGGCCGCTCCTTCAAGCACAAGTGTCACCTGAACGACCATGTCAGGAGCCATTCAGGCATCAAACAGTTTGTGTGCAGCATTTGTGGGAGAGCGTGCTCTCGCCAAACTCAGCTGAAGACCCACATGAGGACCCATAATGGAGAGAAACCGTACCAGTGCGACATCTGCAAGAGGTGCTTCTCGCACCGCGGTACTCTCAAGTCACACGTGAAGATCCACGAGGCCAAAAAAAAAGACAGTGACCCGCCCGAAAACCAGACAGTGTGTTAACATGGGCTCGATTCCCTCCTATGCAACTTGTACGACTCTTGACTTTTTTTCTTTTAAAGAAAAAGTGTTAAATGAGGTATTCCTTTGGTAACAAAGCTCATGACATAAATACTTGGGTCTTGAGAGAAGGACATGAATAAAAATTATTTAATGAATAAATAATTTTTATTAAGAAAGAACTGCATAATTGGTTGTTTTTCTGGATATAAGTACTGAAAAGCCTAAAGAGATGACTAGTTCTGCTTTTTTGAAAGACAATTAAGCCAAATCTAAAGGGAAGAAATCAAAATGTAAGGAACATGTTTGAATGATTAAAAACACACACCAGCAGATTCACAGAAATAACTGACACTATCTTACCCTGTAGCGTAAGGAAAAACATGAAAGTAGACTTTCAGTCAGTCAGTAAGAAAAAAACAAATTTGCGTTAATTTAAAAAAATTAACGCAAAAAAACCAGTCTTGATTCTGACTTCATGTTTTCAAAATCATATATATATATTACACATGCAAAGACAGACAGGAAATGTATAGAGAGAGATATTTGTATATATCTAAAAGATGAAAAAATATTTGATTTCTGGGGGATTTTGTGGAACTTAATTAAAATTAGTTTAAAAAGTTGTACAACTTAAAAAAGCTGTCAACAAAAGAGAAGAAGCAACATTTACATCTTTAAGATGTATTTATTTTTTGCTATTATGTTGCTAGAACATAACAAAAATTTCAGTGGTGCCCTCGGTAATAAAGAAAACACAAAAAAGATAAATAAGTTTGGGGGGGGTTGTATATTTTGTTATGCTCAAAACATCATCAAGAGGCACAGTGTTGATGAGGTATCAGCTGAAATATATATACCAGGTTATACGTTCATGGAAAACCAATTTGCACCACAGGATGGTGCGTCAATGTTAACGTTTGAAATTTAGAGTTATGTCATCTTGAAACTTGTTTCTTCTAAAGATATTGAGTCAAAATTTTGAGCTAATTACAAAAGTGGATGTAAAACAAAAAAGATTGTTTTTCTCATTAGTGGAAACTAGCTCCCATAAAAGTCTCTTGAAGAAGGAAATATTAAAAGTTGAACGAAGAGCAGTACATCAGAAAACATAAAAACATCCACTGATAAAAGCCAGACAAAAAGGAGAAACAAAGAGAAACTTTAAGGGGAGTTTTTTACTCTGACTTAACCTTTGTTACGTTTTTTTAATTGACAAATTTAAGAAAATTTACTTTACAGTGATATCTGTTTAAAAGAAAAGCAGAGAAAACTTTTGAATGAACACGCTTTTTGTTAATTGATATTGAATTGAAACGGTTATTAATGCATTTTCCGTGTTAATTAGAAACAGAAATATAAAGGACACTAACTAATAATAAAAAAAAGTTTTTAAAGCAAACATTTGGAGAATAATCTTTGTAAAATAATTATTACATTACTAAAACTGGTTGAGTTGTTGAATTGTCACTGAAGGCTGTCCGGATAGAGTGGTCAGAAAAGGATACAGCTGTTGTTTCTCCCCGGACGCATTATGTGGCTGCACCGTAACAGTCTCAAACGCGTTCGACATCAAAACTGAAAAAACAAACAAAGAAAATCATGTTTTGCTGGACAAGCAGCAGCGGAGGCTCGGAGCCACTCGACAGCGTCGCTAACATGTCCAAGAGCGACATACTGAGAGGAATCATCACTGAGAAACTGAGCACAGCCGCCCGGGAGATCTTAGCAGTGGTGGAGAGGACGATAGCCGACTACGAGGAGGAGGTCGCGGGCTTCAGGCAGGAGATCGACCGGCAGAGGAGACTGCTGGAGCTCTTGCAGCCTCGGGTCAAGCTTGAGAGGACAGGTCAGCAAAGTTATGGTTATGGGTGTTCCGAACTTTCTTTACCAAATTACACATTTATGCTCACTAACTGGCAAAGAAAAAGATCAAAACATCTGAAACGAATGATACACAGATTGTTTTTATGACGTAAATAAAGATTTTTGTGAATTGGGTGCTTTTGGTCACTTTCACATTCTCTACACAGCACTTAATGTAGAAACGGACAGACTTAGTGAAGGTCAAAAAATCAAAACAGCTAATCACCTCGGAATCTGTTTTACATTTACCTTATCATGAATATTTCACTATAAATATTTTTTTTTGAGTTCTAGGCCCTCATAATTTAAAAAAAAAGTGTTTTACTTTTAAAGAGCTGCACAGCTGTGACGTATTGATGGAAGCCAGTCTCGAGGAGAATGAGCATCACATGCAACAGTCAGGTGTGTTTGTGAGGTTTTGCATTGGAGATTTTGTGTTGTAAAATACAAAAAACACCAGCAGTACAAGTAACTGAACTGACAAAAGCAGATGAAGTAGAAGTAAAAGAGGAGTTCGAAGCTCTCTGAGTGTTAGTGCTGGTTCGAAGTTATGAGATTTGCAAATGAACTGCATTTTGTTTTATTCATATTTGACGTAGAATTCCAACATTTTTAGAATTGAGTTTGTAGTAAAAAGCCTTTATTTTAGTGAGTTAAAGACATTAAAAAATGCAACAAAATGCATCAGCTTGCACCTCTTACAGGGTGTAGTGATACAAAGATGCTAACAGAACAGTTACAGCTGCACTCAGCACAGCTGTGCAACACTAAACAGCATATAAGAAGGCAAAGTGTATGTTTTTGTTTAGAGCTCAGCAATTTCCTGCTGTGAAATTTAGGTTAAATTGGGTTTTGCTTCAGTGCATGCATAAAAATTGTAGAAGTGTGTGTGCAGATGTTGTAAAAATTTACTTTAGTTGTCAAACAGTCCTGTGATGTAAAACTCAAACATTACTGTGTTAAAACTGACTTTCTGTGTCCAGATGTGAAGGACACTGTGATCTCAGGTCTCCCGGTGTACGATAATGTGGAAGAGGAGGGGGTGGAGATGCCATTTGTGCAACCAGACACAAGCTCCACACAGCATGAAGAACAACTTAAGGAACCAGATCATCAAATACCTGTAAGGTTTGAAATTCACATATCTATCTTAGATATGTGAAAATGTCAAAACTTAAAATTATTCAAGTCAGCTCTCGTGTGATTTATACTGAAAATTAAAAATTTTGCAGTAATTGGTTGTTAATTAGTTTGAGTTGAGACATAAAGTGAAAACCTGGCAGAAATGCAACACAGTCCAAAACCGATTAAGTATTTAGACATATTACTAAGTGTGTCTACATAAGCTGTAATTGCCTCAAACAGCCTTCAGTTCAAATCTTATAACTTAGCTCTCTAGATCCACCTGAAGGTCATCTGAATGTATTCTCCAAGGTTTAATGTTCTGGTCAACCAATTGGTAGAGTACATTTTGAGGCCCTATATCATTTCAATGAGGTAAATTGACCTACCTTTTTGAGTCTTTTCTACCAATTGTATTGCCAAAAAAATCCACCAAATGGCACCGTGACTTAAAAAGATAGCCCGAGAAGGGTCTGGCTGCAGCCGCTGTGGAGTGCCATATTACCTCCATAGTAACCGGAAACACGTGACCTCCACAGTAGACGGAAATACGTTCCCTGCGTGGATACAGTGGAAACCTCGCAAGTGGATCGTAATGGTTGAGACACAGTCTTTTATATATAAATTTGCCGTTAATAATTTCATAATTCTAGGAATCATCTAGTTTGCTTACATTGATCATGTTGGCACTTTGCGTTACAGCAACGGGCATTTTTAAATTTTGGTTTTTTTATCCATGGCAGAGAAACACAGATATGTCTGTTTACGGGCCCTGGTTAAAGTAAGAGAGCTGGATTAAGGGCTTCTGTGGGCGAGATGGCAAAAAATACACATTTTGCGTTAGAATATGATTTTTTTTGTTGGCATCAAAGATGGAAAGTAATAAAGTACAAATACGTCATTACTGTACTTAGTAGAAGTTTCTGGTATCTGTACTTTACTGCTACACTTTCTTGTGCCTACTTTATACTTCTGCTTCTTACATTTTAGCATGACATGTACTTTGTACTCCCTACATTTTCAAATCAGGGTTATTACATTACATCTGCTTTTTTGTTGCCCAGATTTTAGTTAGCCTCGGTTAAATTGTCTATTATATGTCAATAGATACATATGTCACAAATAAAAGTGTCTTGTAAATTAGTTTTTTGTAAAGAATTTTCTCCCCAAATCTCTTACATGCTAACTGTAACGTGTTATTTCTGCTAAAACCTGAACCTAAATGTGTATACGGTGTTTATCTGTTTTTCTCTGTTTTAGATGCACATATCAATTTGGAATTCTGCCTCAAAGCCAGAATTGCAGGAATGCACAACATGTTGCAGAAGACTCTTTCACTGCCCTCTGTGCCCCAATTTCAGCCCTACTGTCAGGGCAGTGATTGAGGAGCATATAAGTGGACACATTAAAAATGCTTTGCCTTTTAAAGGTATGTTAGTATTATATATACCTTATAGTTAAAGTTATAAACATGCACTTCTTTTTAGTACTTCTGCATTCTCTTTGTTGACTTAAAAGTTGCTTTTCACATTGTACAGTTCAGTGCATTCATCAGCAAGAGAAAAATGTGTTTTCATTAAATACATTTTTTGTTCCTGTTCACTACATTTCTTGACAGCTCTTGTGATCCACACCATTTTGCTTTCATTATTGAGGATGGCTTGGATATTTTTCTTAACATGTACACTCTGATTGTTAGATAAATTGATTGCATTCCATATAACTACATTTAAATTACATGTGTTTTTTTATTCTCTTACAGACAAAATGATATGCCGGTGCAGGCTGCCATGTAGGACGACAGGACACTTTCACTGTCCTGTCTGTAACATGACAATCATACGGCGTGGGGATATGGCAAGGCATTTATTGTCATGTCAACATAATGTTTCAATAGCTAGTCAGCCACCACTATCAGGACTGCTCCCCACTGCATTCTCCAAGGTGCCCCGCATCCCTCTCAATGTCTTCTCTCCAACATCTAAACCATTTTCTGAATCTTCGGTAGACCATGCATATGCTCTACCCTCTGTGCTAAATGAAGTCCATGAAAATGAAATGCCCTCACTGTGGTCTTAGTCTTCTTAAAAAAAAAGGCCAAAAATATTTATCACGATATACATTTGAAAATTTGCGATAACGATATAACTGACGATATAATTTACACCAGACAAAATACTTTACAACTCCTCAACTTTATTAGTGCAAAAAAAAAAACCCATCAACATGCAGCATGCTCTACTAAAAATAGTGCTTTGTTGTGTATCTGACGGATGAAAGCTAAACCAGTTCCACACCACTGAAGTTGCAGCATATTTACAAACCAATTCTGGTTCATCTGTTTCATTTAACGATCCACTTTCACTCTTCTCATTCTGCGTCGCCACCATGTGCGTATGTAAACAAAGGCACCGCGCATGCACGTTTCACCCATATTCTGTCACGATGTTTCATTTTCTTATCGTTGCCCAACATTACACCGGTATTACCGTGAACGATATGATATAGCCCAGCCCTAATGAGGAGGCATTCAAACAGATCAATAGATGTTTGTCTGGCCTGTCATCTGCAGTGTTTTTGTGTAGAGGGACTTCTTCCTGTTTGTTTTTCAGTTTGCAGAGGACATGGAGCTCTTTTTAAAAGCATGTGCTGACGAGCAGGGATTACGGGTCAATGCGATGTTTGACATTTAATGGAGAGATGAAGGAATTGGCTATTTGTTGTTGTTTTTTTTTGTTTTTTTTATGTGTTGTTGGGTTGTTGTTTTTTTTCAGTGTACAGAATTCCAATTAAAGTTATTTCAAAATGTTGTTTACTTGTTTCCATACTTACAGTAAAACATTACAGTGTAAATGTAACAGCATTGTTTTATACTTGAAACTTCAAAATTAAAAGCTTAGAGTTGCTATTAACATTAATGTGTTACCCTGTAATCAATAAGATTTTTATACACTTTATGCATTAAAGCTCTGGGCTTTGTGCTGGCCATTTGTAGCCACTTCACTTTTATTTATTTATTTATTACCATTTTTGCTGTGTTAATGCAAGTGGAATGAAAGGGTCTTGATTTTTTTCAGCTTTAATAACTTTCAGCTTCTTAAATACATCAAAAATATATTCACTAAACATTGTTCTTGCCTCTATCATGGCAAAAAATGGCTAAAATTGCTTTCACTCGAAACTCAACACCTAAAAATTATACTTTTTAATGTTTTTTTGTTTTGATTTTACAAATTACATCATTTACCCAATTTTGGCCATACAAGCAATTCCATGTAATATCCTTATTTTCAAATAGGGGCGTTTGATGGCTTACCACACCCCAATGGATCAAAAGATTGACGGAGGTTTGATTTTAAGGATCTAATACAGGGGTCGGAAACTACAGGCCACGAGAGCCGGTGTCCTGCAGTTTTAGATGTCCTCGATCCAACACAGCTGATTCAAATGGCTAGATTAGCTCCTCAACATGTCTTGAAGTTCTCCAGAGGCCTGGTAATGAACTAATCATTTGATTCAGGTGTAGTGACCCAGGGTGAGATCTAAAATCTGCAGGACACCAGCTCTTGAGGACTAACGCTCCCTACCCATGATCTAATAGTTTGAGTTAGCTAATGTTATGAGTAACGATGGAACGATCTGATATTATGCATCGTATCGGTCCGATACTGATCTAAATTACTGGATCGGATATCGGAGAGAAATTAAAAATGTAATCCGATCCATTAAATATCACGAAAGCACCTCACAAAACTTGCGACATGGGGTAACTCATAGTGGCTGAGAAATGTGAGACCTCTTGGCAGTCTGGTCGAGCATTTGTAGCCTCGCTACCAAACCAGCACTTCATCTCTGAGAAAGTGATCCCAGAGAGAAGTAAAGCAAGTGTGTAAGTTCATCTCTGAATGTTTGTGAAGCATTCCAGCGTTAAGCTTAACAACCGATATATGGAGCGACTGCCTCTTCTTGCTGCTACTTCAGTCATGAAACTGATCAGTGATCAGCTGATCGGCTTTTCTGTTGTGACTCCGTCTCTCTTGTTTGTTTTTGACCCACTTTACACCAGAAAAAGGAAACCAGCGGCTGAACAACAGCAGCACATTAAGCTCGATAAGCTGTAGCTAGAATTTATTTAATATTACTTTCTACACCAGGATCCTTTTCTACGTAGCTGACGGTTGGTAACTGTGCAGGGGCGGATCTAGCAAAGTTTAGCCAAGGGGCCAGGTAGGGCATGAACAGGGAAAAGGGGGCACAAAGACATACTTTTCTTTCTTATTCTCATTTAAAATGTCTAGCTTTTAATAAATAATTATCTGAATCTTACACCCAAAGTTCTTATCTGATGTAAAATGTATAGAAGTCCATTACCGTATATAGTAACCATTAAGTCAAGGTTCTTTATTTGTGACATGCATAGTTATACAAGTATAACACACAGTGAAATGTAGCCTGACACGCTCCTCGACATGTGCAAAAAAATTGGGGGGGGTGTAGAGGAAGAACATTATATATATATATATATATATATATGTATATATATATATATATATATGTATATATATGTATATATATATATATATGTATATATATATATTATATGTATATGTTATATATATATGTATATGTGTATATATATATGTATATATATATATATATATGTATATATATGTATATATATATATATATGTGTATGTGTGTATATATATGTGTATGTGTATATATATATGTGTATGTATATATATATATGTATATGTATATATGTATATGTATATATATATATGTATATATATATGTGTGTTAGGGGTGCAACGATACACAAAATTCACGGTTCGGTTCGATACTTTGGTGTCACGGTTCGATATTTTTTCGATACAAAAAATGTTCATGCATTTTTAATTTGTCATTTATTAAAATTATAAATATATATTTTAACTCAAAAGTACAGTTTTTAAATTTAACCCTAACCCTTGTGCGTGTTTTTTTATTTTGACAGCGAATGCGCACCTGCGGACCACTTATGTGCAGCCCTGGTTATTTAGCTCATCATATCGCAGCCACAGAAATTCTTTTGTCCATGAAACCATAAAACTGCACTTTCTTTTTGCCTTATAGTCTGATTTGTCATAACTTCTCCGTTTTGTGGTAAGCTTTTCTTTGGCTGTCACTTCTTCACCCTGACCTGTCTTATTTGGCTCAGCAGAACTGAAATGCTTTTACACGCTCACTCACATAAGCTCAGCGATTCTCTGCGCGATCAACCTCTCACATGTTTAAGCTTGCTGCGGGAGATTTCACTTGTCATGTTTGCATAGTAAGCTAACAATTAATAAGACGATGTCAGAGGAATTGGTGCGCAAATTATCATCACTCACAGATCAGTGCTGTCGCTCTCTATACACAGTTCGCACGATTGCAAAGTGAAAGCAAAAAAACAAGCGCAAATTCAAACGCGACTGCAATATGTCACATATTGACAGTGGCTCACCGATGCCAATGACATAATTACCCAGCTACATTTCCGAAAGAATGCAAAAGCATTGACATATATTTTTCCTACAATAGCCCGATGGGCAGGGAAGAGATAGATTTTGGTAGCCCGACTGGAAAAATCGCTAGCACCGGGACGTCGGGCTAGCGATATTGCAAGCCCTGTATCTGATTGAGGAATCACTCATCTTTGGAAAAGAGTTTATTACAGAGAAATGGCTCTTTCCAAAATAAAAGCTATACTATCCGCTTCTTCTGGGCTATATTCTCAGCAGCATAAGGAGAATCATGTGCTAACAGCTGTCTAAATGACTCGGCTAAAGTTAGTAGCATGCTTGCTTTTTTTTGTCTGCTTCCACTTGTCTTTGCACTAGGATGATGTCGGCGTAAATGTGCAGTCATATTCGTTGTGTTCCCACTAGTGCTTTCAGGTTAATCTCGTTGAAATGACCTTAACGCCACAACACGGCAAATCTCCGTTAACGAGCTACCGCCGATCGCCCCGTGCATGGGGCTAGACGGCCAACACGTTAACGAGCTAACTGCGCTAACACACTAGTTCACACCAATGTAATTGAGCATTGCATGGCACATCCAACATACTGTTTTACTTTAGTCCATGACTCGCTTACCTTCAGGGTCATACGTCACATGAAAACCAAAATAATTCCAAACGCCAGATCTGAATGAGGTTCAATGCCTGTTGCAAGTAGAGCTTAACTTCTGTCTCGCTAGCTTGCCCTGCGCTCTTCCTTCTGACTATGCTGTCTGTGTTGAGCGCTCAGTGGATCTGCGCTCGACAGTGCAGCCTAGGCGGAGTAGTCGAACACAGATTCACTGAGCGCTCAACACAGACAGCATTGTCAGAAGGAAAATTGATAAAATAAATTACAAATGTTGTATTGTTCGATACATATGCGTACCGAACCGAAAGCACTGTATCGAACGGTTCAATATCGATACGAATATCGTTGCACCCCTAATATATATATATATATATATAGGTATATATATATATATATAGTATGTAGTATATACATTAAGTTTAATATACCCTAGTAAGGTATAGTACTTTTTCCTTTGGGAAGGTACCATCTGTGCAGTCTGCAATTCTGTTGAAGAAAGATGTTGAATCTATTTATTTTAATTAATTTTTAATTTAATTATTGTTGAAATATAATTGATTTCTCTGCATTTTTTTTTACACGTGCATTAAATTAAAGTTGATTGCGTCATAAGGCGCATAGGTGGTTCCCTATTTTTTATTTATTTATTTTTGCTAGGAGTTGGCAACCCTATTAGTTAGGTTGCTTAATATTTCCGCTAAGTACTCTTTAAAATACCAGAATAGTGAGGATGGTGTAGGTTTAAATTTATTAGATTTATCAGTATTTCTGAATTATGAAATAGTTTTTGCATACAGGTTTAACAGAATAGCTTTAGCGTTTAGTTTTTTTTTAAACTTGAGTATGAACTTATACAAAGCAAGATATTAAAAAAATTATTTTGTTGATTTAAAAAATACACTATATCAGATTCATATCGGTATCGGCAGATATCCAAATTAATGATATCATTATCGGACATAAAAAAGTGGTATCGTGCCATCTCTAGTTATGAGATTCAAATATTTTTTTAAAACACTTTACCAAATGATTAATTTGTCGATTTATGATAAGATATGATAAGATAAACCTTTATTAGTCCCTCAAGAGGGACATTTGAATTGTCAAAAGTTATGACAACTTGGGACACTTCACTGTGAAAACCAAGGCCGTTATAACCACTGTCCAAAGGTACTGTCAAGGTGGAAATGTCAGAAGTGCAAAGTGTTTCTGTGCCTGAAAGGCCCACCAGCAGTGCTTTGTTGCGCATCACCAGAAATAAAGGACATCTAACACCTCTAAATTGCAGTTGGTTCTTTAGCACAACAACTCTCTTGTACCTGTTCTGTCTAGTCTGCTGCTAAGTTACAGAAGTTTATAACTGATTTATTAAGCTTTTAAAAATATTTTTGTATTCAGAGTTTTACCATTAATGAAAATCTCAACCGTTTGGTAGAGGCCTATGTTTAAAAGAAAAACTATGGCGTTTCAAACTATGTTTGAAAAAAAAAATCTAAACTTTGTTACTGTTGTTCTAAAGGAATAAAAATGCAAAGAAATATTTTTTTAATTGCAATTGTCTTGATGTGAACCTCAAATGGTTAAAAGAATTTATAGAATTACAAAGACAAAATCTCAGAACTTACACAGCCTTCAGTCCATTTAAAAATATAGATATAGAGTCTGACCAATACCAACACCATTATTTGTTGTTTTGAAAATTTGTTATATATATTTTTAGACACATGAAACATAAACAGACGCTCAACCATAAAAGGCCGATGGGGTGTTGTCATCACCCCCACTGGGTGGGTGGCATGGACACACAAGTGTGTACCCTGCCTTATGCCCAGCTAGGATAAGTTCCAGCCCTCCCGTGACCCTTGTCCACCTCCAGCTGGAGGTGTAGCTGCTGAAAATGTCTAACTAAATCTCATTGACCTGGAACACAACTGTTTTCTCTTCACTTTTAAAATTTTTATTTATCAGCCGATCTAAATGTCAATACAGATATATCAGGAAATGTTTTATATCAGTTGATTGCTCAGCCCCACCAATACGTTGGTTGAACTTTAGTAGATGCTACAACAGGAAAGAGAAGTATGTTCTTCTGTATGGATCAGAATTCCAACTCAGCATTTGCATCACAAGCTTTAGAGATGTACCAAACTCTGACATAGACAACATGTGAGACTGTTGTTCTCTTTGCAAGAATAGATGTTACCGCTACTGTTTCAGGAAATCTCACTTTCAAACACAGGCACTTGTAGCTAAAATCCTGAGTCTACATCCCACTCAGAAGGGCTAGAATTAAACTTTTAAGTGGGTTTTTTTTGTATTTACCATTAGGATAAAGGGATGGTGAACCATTTTTTTCACTCGAGTTAAATATCAGCAAAGACTTTCACCTTTTTTATTCATCCCGAAATGCTGATTCTAATCATCTGAACAGAGTCAACTTTTTGGTATTTCCTTACCTGGATGATTGAGCATGCATCAATGCTTTTTAGAAAAGTTTTGTGGTTCAGTTTGTATCTAACCAGGCCAGAAGTCAGAGTGTTCAGACCTCTCAGTTCTATTTTGTTTGTTGTCTAATGTATATTTTGAGCTTTTATCAAGAGATTATCTGTAAATAAACTTGTTTCTACAATCAGTTTGAAGTGAAGAGGCCCAGCAAAGCTCTGACTGGAGGCACGCAGACCCTTCCAAATTTCCGGATCCGCATCTTGGAGGATTCCCAGACTGAAATACTCTCTAACCTTGGTATACTTCATGTTCTTTGTTTTTCAGATATGTTTTTTTTTTTTTTTTAAATTTTCTTACCAATATTAAATGTGTTGGAATGTAAAGAGGCCCAGCAAACTGTTTCAGAGTGACATTCATCGTTATTTCAGGACCTCAAGGTGGACTCTTAGGTTTTACAAATGATCATGAAAGTGCCTTTTTTTTCTTGGTTTCACGATTTCACAATGACTTCTTTGTATTTCAGTGTTTAAGAAATGTCCGGTGCAGGATCTGAGGTGTCCTCCTGGTCTACAGGAGGACGACTTCCTGGAGCTGCTGAGGTCCACCTTCCCTCAGCTAGGCTCTGATGAACCTTTGGACTTTTTTACATCCAGCACAAACAGGAGGCTCCAGCCTTTGCAAGTAGAGCCAAGGACCCCAGAGGTGATCTACAAGGCCATCAAGACTGCAGGAAGCTCAGCCCTCTACATCAGACCGAAGGTAGGTTGATACAGTTCTAAACAATTCATAAGAGGCATTTTGACACTTGTGGAGTGATGTTTTGTTGGGAAGGACTGCATTCTCTTCAAGATTCAAAATCCAAGAGCTTTATTGTCAATACAGTAGTATACAAAGTATACAGTGTATACAGAATTATGTGACTGAGTGCAAATAAGCATGTTGTTTTCAGGTCCAGTTTGTAGTGGATTTGTGGAAGGTTTTTTTTTTTTTTTTTTGAGTCTTTTAATGAGTATTGTAAGGTGTTCATAAGGGTGTATGTGTATATCAGTCATTTTGTGGTAGTGAGTTGAGGGCTCTGACTGCTTGGGGGAAGAAGCTCTTGCAGTGTCTGATCGTTACGGTTTTGATGCTGCAAAACCATCTGCCAGATGGAAGGAGGGAGAACAGTGCATGTGAGGGGTGGAAGGTGTCCTTCACTATGCTGTTCTCACGTCGGATGATGTGTCTGCCATAGTTGGGAGCTGTCCTCACTATCCGCTGCAGAGACCTCTTTTCAGCGAGGGTGCAGTTCCCGTACCAGATAGTGATGTAGCAGGACGCTCTCAATGGTTCCCTGGTAAAATGATGAGAGGAGGGAGACTGTCCTTCTTCAGTTTCCTAAGAAAGTGAAGACATTGTTGGGCTTTCTTCATGATGGTGGTGGTGTTCAGGTTCTAGGAGAGGTCAGCTGATATGTGCACACCCAGGAACTTCACACTGTTGACCATCTCAACAGCAGATCTGTTGATGTGCAGTGGGGTGTGGGTCGTTGACCTCTTCCTGAAGTTAACAACCATCTCTTTAGTCTTCTGAACATTTAGAGACAGGTTGTTATTCTGACACCAGTCCACCAGGTGTTGAAGTGTCATCCTGACATCTGCTGTGGACAAACAGAGTACTTGGTCATTGGGGGAGGGGGGCATCTTCCTTGCTGACTCTTTGTTCTCTGCTTCAAAACGTGCAAAGAAGTCATTTAGTTGGTCTGGCAGTGAGGGATCACTGCTGCATGCCGGAGGTTAGGGCTGGGCGATATGGCCTAAAATCCATATTGCGATATAATTTGAAGCACGTGCGGTAATGATATATATCGCGATATATGATTTTCTTCTGTATAACGTATTTTCCACACTATAAGGCACACTTAAAATCCTTTAATTTTCTCAAAAATCGAGAGTGTGCCTTATGTATGAATTCTGGTTGTGCTTACTGACCTCGAACCGATTTTGGCGTGCAGAAATCTGTTAAAAAAATGTTTTAGTACATGTTTGGTAAGCCGCACTGCTTGATGGATTGTCAGAGCATTACGGCTGCCATAGTGAGGAGCTTCACGGAGTAATCTGGGTCCAAAACTCCGTCCGCTTCAGGTCCCAAAGTCAAACGAACACTAAATTCTTTCGTCTTTAATAAAATCATCAGCGTTGCTGTTTAACAAGTGTAACAATTAAGTTTAACATCCATGCATCAATGAAAACAGAATTTATTAAATTTGACGGAGTTACAAGTTAACAGGAAGTTAGCTCGCTAGCTTCCACCCAAACATGACATACCATGTTCTGACTGAGAGATTTTTGAAACTAATTAAAACGTGCAGCTCTGCTACCACTTCCAACATAAATGAAGACAGAAAACTAAACAGCAGTGGCGTTTGCAGGGTTACTGAAGTTGGACTACCTGGTATATAATTGGTTGTGCTATGCCACTGCTAGCGACACAGCTATGTTAGCATAACATTAGCACAGTGAAGCTGGAGGACGAACACCAACTTTTTTTCCACGCAATAAAAGTTAATGTGAGGGATTCTGGTGATCAGGGACAAATGCAATCGCATAGCAGGATGCTATACATGGGCTAAACTTCAGTCAGGAGAACAACTGAGATTATTCATCCACAATACGAGGTTAGTTATTAATATACTGCAACAACATGGGAATAGAACAGCTGCGAGAGAATTCAACATTAATGAATCAATGTTACGGAAGTGGAGGAAGAGCAGTTTTTGGCTTTCCCCATATTTCAAAAGTGCTTCATCTCTTTGCCATGACTGTCGCCCGGCATAATTTGCAGATGATAATGGTTGTAGCCGCTGCGATGCTTTCAACCAAAACAGGCGCAGCTTGATGATGTCATCAACATGCGCTATTGCAATAGAGCGGTATAGTCAAAATCTCTATCGTTGGCCAAACTTATATAGTTTCTATCGTATATCGTTTATATCGCCCACCCCTACCGGAGGTGTTGGCTTGTAGCCCGTGATTGTTTGGATGCCCTGCCACATGCACAGAGTATCCTTTGTACTTGTGAAATGTGTGTTGATCTTATCTGCATACTGCCGCTTTGCCTCTTTGATGGCCTGTGATAGGTCTGCTCTGGCTGTAGTGTAAACTTCTCTATTTTTGGACTTAAAGGTAGAGTCTCTGATTTTCATCAGGTTGCGTAGCTTTGCAGAGAACCGGGGTTTTTATTCAAAGCAATCTCGCAGAACAGATATGACCCCCTCTTGCCATGTTTTCACCTCTCTGACGGTTGGAAGTCTGATCCGTTTGTTGATGGGTCTCTTAATGGCATTTTCAGAACAAATATTCAATAATTTTGCCTGTTCAGACATGTTCTGATTATTTTCATACCAATTGGGTTGTATTTTTACCAATTAGTGCATATTCATCTGGTATTGTTATATCAACAGGGTAACAAATTTTTTACACATTTAGGGTTGTTTGTTCAGTCCAGGAGATTTTTTGCGATTGTGTAAGTTTTTCCATAGAGACTGAATCATTTGGAAGCTAAAGCTTTCAAATGATGAAATGTTATGTCAGTTGGGGCATGTTTTTTTTCTGTTGGGGAAACTAAACACTGGGATGGTGAAGTTTGAGATATTTTTCTGCTGTGTCTGTTTCTCCAGAAACAAGATGACAACTCCAGATCCAACCCTGCAACACCATCAGCTGATCGAGCAAAATATATCAAAAGGTAATCAAACTAACCAGAAGCATTATATGTTAAAAGAATGCTTAAGGAATTGGGGTTGGTTGACGTGTGGAGGGATGCACACTCACTGGAAAAGAAATATACCTTTTCTTCACATTTCCACCATATGTATTCAAGACTGGACTATTTTTTTATGTGACACTTTGATAAGCATAGAATTATAAATTGTGATATAGGGGTGAGAGATATTTCGCACCATGCAGGGGTGTACCTGACACTCCATTTGGATTCAGATCGCAAAGAGACTTTATGGAGGCTTAATACTAGTCTACTAAATGATGTAGAATTCAAAAAGTTTGTAAAAGAAGAATTTAAGGAATACATGGAGTACAATAACAATGGTGATATTTCTCCTAGTATTTTATTGGATGCAGCGAAGGCAGTTCTTACGAGGGAAGCTAATTTTGTGGTCCTCATATTAAAAAAAGGAAAAAGAGAAGTATCTAAAAGACCTTACTACGAGACTGAAACACCTAGAATCAGAACATATGAAAAATTAAAGAAACACAACAGATATTAATAGGTTATATGATGGGCTAAACTCATTAAGCAGAATTATTATGAAAATGGTCCCAAATCTAAGAGACTCCTTACTTGGAGGATACGGAAACAGCAGGCTGACAGATTTATTCAGAAAATTAAAAACCCAGCAAATGATAAGATATGTCATGACATGAAAAGCATAAAATAATCTTTTGTGACCTATTATACCCGACTGTACGCAGAACCACACATGATAGATGTGCCCTCTGTTAATGTATTTCTTTCCTCACTTGATTTACCATCGATAGGAACAGAACAAAATACAAGATACACAAACAATAACTGCGGAGGAGATTAACAAGGCTATTTCAAAATTGAAAGGTAATAAGATGGCCGATGAGGATGGCTACCCGGCAGAGTGGTATAAACACTTCAGAGTAGTAACCCCTCTGCTGAGGGATTGCTTTAACCATGTGCTTACGGGGGGGGGATACCACCATCCTGGAAACGAGCAGTTATTTCAGTAATTCCCAAACTGGGTAAAAATAGAGCAGAATGTGGTTCCTATAGACCCGTATCAGTCTTGAATATCAACTATGGGATATTTGCAACAATATTAGCTAAACGGTTGGAATTTATAACTTCCGAACTAACTGATACAGAAACAGGTTTTGTTCGAAATAGGCAAACTCATGATAACGTGAGGCGGGCTCTCCATCTAATAAATAAAATGAAAAATATCGAATCAGTAGCTGTCAGGCTTGATGACGAAAAAGGTGTTTTGTAATTTTATTTGGGCCAAACAAAAACCAAGAATAAAATTTTAGACATTACAACTGCAAAAGGACAAAGGTGGATTCACTCTGCCATGTCTTGAGGACTATTATAGGGCTGCACAGTTACGAGTGATGATTGGGTGGTGTGATCCAATGTGTGAGGCTAAATGGAGATCAACCACTCATTAAAGGACATATAGATGCAGACCTGCTCCCAGCACTAATGAAAGTGCCCATAGAGACATGTTATAGGATACTCAAATATAAGAAAACTGAAAAAAGTCTGCTTACGATTCGGATTTTGCACCTGCAAACATGGATAAGAGATTTATAGAGTGGTCACATAAGGGTATAACAGGCTACTGGAAGATTACAGATAAAAATGTACTAAAAGACTACCAGCAACTCCAGAGAAGTTTTTACTTGGAAAGACAGGATTTGTTTAGATACCTCCAGCTGAGGCACCATTACGACAGAAACATAAAATTCCTAGAAGAGGAGGACACGGGCTTGGTTAAAATCTTCATTGACTCTTGTAAGGGGAATGCACCAAAGAAACACATATCCAGATTATACAAATGTTTACAAAGATGTAGGAATAATGACACAACATATATCAAAGCTAGATGGGAAAAAGAGGCTGAAATAATAAAACATGACAACAACTGGTTCAATATATGTAAGGCTGTGGTAATGACCTCAAGCTCACATCTATGGAGGGAATTTGCATGGAAAAACAGTGCGTTTTTTTGTCACGCATAATACTAAGAGTAAACAAAGTAAAGACCCCGACAAGGCTCAGTGTTGGAGAAACTGTGGATGTGTATCTGCAGGACATTTTCATATTTTTTGGGAATGTGCTAAGATTGTTCCCTATTTGCTAGTAGTAATCAAAGAAATCAATACCGTGATGGGCTTGAACTTGGCCCCTGATTTCACTGTGTTTTATCTATGTGATTTGCCACAAGGACTGAGGAATTCAGACAAATATCTTTTATTGATACTTTTGGCTGGTGCAAAGAAAGCCATAACTCGCAAATGGCTAAACGTGGATCCACCGTCATTCTTGGACTGCATAGGCATTATCAAGAAAATTTACACAACGGAGAGACTGACTTTCTCACTAAGACTTGCTGCCGATAAATTTGAGAAATACTGGAAAAAATGGGATCTTTACTTAAATGGAAAAATATTATAATTTCTGGTACCATGTGTCATTTCTGTAATTCACCTATTTGATCTGATTGTACCATAAAGGGATATGTCTTTTTTTTTGTTTGTTAGGCTAGATGCTCTGTGCTTGTTGGGGGTCTGCATGTTTTGTAAAAGATATACAGGACTGTCAATAAAAATAAAGTGTAAAAAATAAAAAGGTAATCAAACTAAAGAGAGCATCACTTGTGCACTCTTGTGTATTTGCTGGCTCTAAAGACGTATAGCACTGCTGCACCAAACCTAGAGCCAGTCATACATTTTGGCCACGTTTTGTTGTAAAAATTGAAAACACAATGCTGTGACACTTTCAGCCAATTAAAGCCATTAAAAAATGTATTTTCCTTCTTCTCTGCGTGTTTGCGTTTGATAGGGTGAAATACAATGACGCAAAGACTCCTATAGATTTCCGGATCCGCATCCTTGAGGACTCTCAGATTGACACGCTCTCGAACACTGGTACGGTCATGTTCTTCATTATGGAGCTAAAATGATTAGTCGATTAGTCCTAGAGACTGGCAAACTATGATTGCTAAATAAAAATATATGTACAGTGGTGTGAAAAGGGGTTTGCCCCTTTCTTGATATATTTTTTGTTTGTCACACTTGAATGTTTCAGATCATCAAACATAGTTTTAGACAAAGATAACACAAGTGAACACAAAATGCAGTTTCTAAATGAAGGTGTTTATTATTAAGGGAGGAAAAAAATACAAAATGTGTGAAAAAATGATTTCCCCTAAACCTAGTAACTGGTTGGGCCACACTTAGTAGCAACTGCAATCAAATGTTCTTGATAACTTTAACAGCGCTGAATTTTGGCTCACTCATCTTTGCAGAATTGTTGTAATTCAGTTGTATTGGAGGGTTTTCGAGCATGAACAGCCTTTTTGATGTCATGCCACAGTCTCATAAAGATGTTTTCTGGCAAAACTGAGATGTACCTTTTGCTCAGCAGTGGTTTTTGTGTTGGAACTCTGACTTGCAGACCATTTTCCCCCTTAATAACAACACCGTCATTTAGATGGGCGATCGTGGCTCAAGAGTTGGGAGTTCGCCTTGTAATCGGAAAGTTGCCAGTTCGAGCCCCGGCTTGGACAGTCTCGGTCGTTGTGTCCTTGGGCAAGACACTTCACCCGTTGCCTACTGATAGTGGTCAGAGGGCCCGGTGGCGCCAGTGTCCGGCTGCCTCGCCTCTGTCAGTGCGCCCCAGGGTGGCTGTGGCTACAATGTAGCTGCCATCACCAGTGTGTGAATGTGTGTGTGAATGGGTGGATGACTGGATGTGTAAAGCACTTTGGGGTCCTTAGGGACTAGCAAAGCGCTATACGAATACAGAGCTGGAAATCGGGAAGGGGGTAAACACTTTTCCACATCACTGTATATATTCCACAGCTGGTTACTAAGTGGTTGCCTGAGGTTATCAGAAATCGCTAGGCAAAACTCCAAAGCAATTACAAGGAAATCGAAGGTGTAGCAACTGATTTTGGATAACTAGCAACTAGTCAGGGAATGCACATTTTTACCTAGCAACCAGAAGCTGCCAGGGAGTCTCTAGGCTGGTGTAGCTGAAGCCTTAATAAGTTACAAAGAAGTGTGTTTGTGTGAGTCCTGTCACTGATTTATGTTAATGCAAGTTTACAAAACCTCTCAGTGACCAGTAGTCGTTTGATGAGGTCTTCTTGGACTGTGGTTGATCACTCTGCTAATTTTTTTTTTTTGTTTTCTTTTGTTTTATAGACTCAAATAACTGTTAAATAACTGTTAGTTAAATAACTGTTAGTTTCTTTCAGGCTTTAGATCCATCAAAGGTTGAACTCTTTTTATTTCAGTGTTTAAGAAATGTCCGGTGCAGAATCTGACGTGTCCTCGTGGTCTGCAAGAGGACGACTTCCTGGAGTTGCTGAGGTCCACCTTCCCTCAGCTGGGCTCTGAAGAACATTTGGACTTTCTCATATCAAGCTCACACAAAAGGCTCCAGCTGTTGCAAATAGAGCCGAGAACTCCAGAGGCGATCTACAACGCCATCAATGCTGTTGGAAACTCGGCCCTCTACATTAGGCCAAAGGTAGGTTGAAGCAGTTATAGACAATTCATATGAGACATTTTGACACAACATTTACATTTGTTAGCACATGATTTCTGCTTTTCTGTAGAGCAGCAGCTTTCACAATCTGCTTTGCTCCTAGCTTGTCGATATTTTTGAGTCAGGTGACTTTCTAGCAAGGAAGTAACATTTGAAATATGGTTCTTACTGGCTTGTAAATGTCTGTAGTTGTGGGTTGACTAGAAGAAGAGAATTTTTGAAAAGACGGTTGAATTTAAAAAATCTAATCTAAACTTGTACTTTTGTTGTTTTTGCAAATAAATTTGTAAAAATAATTTGTGGAACTAACCCTTACAGACAGGGAAGGAGGAGGAGAAGACCCTTCACTCTTTACAGACAAATGTCGATCCACCGTCCAGTGATGCCGAGGCACTAAGAAGTGTTAAAGCTAAACTGCTTTCCAGGTAATTTAAAAAACTGATAAAACAACTGAAATTAAAGAGATTTGCTACTGATATTTTTTTTTTTACAAAGGCTTTTACAAAAACATATTCTGAAACAATAAAAAGTTAAATGAACAGCATGAAAAAAAATCAATTGTAGCCAGATGACACCATAACTTACTTGATTATTATGCTTAATTAGATTAATATAAAGAAATGCATACATCATTTTACTAACAGGAGTCAACTGAAAATTAAAGATGGCGAAATCTGAGAAAAGAAAATGGCTCTAGAATTCGCAATTTACAGTTTTACAGGTGGAAATTTTTCAGCAATTTAATTAATGCATTTAATTAATTAATTAAGATATATAAATCTGAGATCTAGTCTAATCTCCTAGTTTCCTAGTTTTGTGTTTTGTTTCCTGCTTTTAGTGTTCGTGTTTCACAGCAAATAAAGCCGTTTTGAGTGTTAGACGTTAAATGTCTCAGTTTGTAAGGGACAATTCAGATGACCTTTATTGGATCCCAGTGATCTCTGGGGCCCTCAGACAATGTCAGTTAACACAATCCTCCGTGCCATCTGCAGATACTAGCTAAAGCTCCGTCATGCAAAAATAAGTCATATTTGAACATGGCCCAGAGGTGCCATCATGTCATGTGGGCCAAGAGTCATTCGAAGAAGTCCAAATTTAATATTATTGTTGGTGATCATGAACGTTGCGTCCGCCAGGGAGACCATCCATCGTGTTATCAGCGTTCAGTTCAAAAGCCAGCTTGTCTGATGGTAACGGGGTGTATAAGTGCAGACGGTATTGGCAGTGTGCTTGTTTTGGAACGAACTATGAAAGCTGAAAGGTATATAAAGGTTGTAGAGCAAGATATGCTTTCCTGGGAGGAAAACTCTTATCCTTTTTTTGTGCAAATTTTTGTTTTGCAACAACATGTACCTAAAGCCCATTAAATATCAAGTGTTTTTCGAGATTGGATTACAGTGGTCCCTCACTATAATGCGTTCCATTTTCGCGGCCTCGCTGTTTCACAGATTTTTTGGGTGCAATTTTGCATGCTTTTTTTTTTTCACAGCGCATTTTGTCCTATGTCCTGATCGACTGTAAACCATTGTCAATCACTCTCGTACCATGTCTCCAGTACAGTACAGGATGTGTTCAGCTTGTCAAATTTACATAAATCTTCGCTAGCAGAAGAAAGCAAACACAACAGTGTCGACGTCAAAGGCACCTGCAGTAGCACACCAAAAGGCAGAGGAAGATGCACAAAAAGTTGGACTTCTGGACAAGCTAAAGGAGGATAGAAGTTACCGTATTTTTCGGACCATAAAGCTCACTGGATTATAAGGTGCATTAAGCAAAAAAACAAACAAAAACCAAACAGTCAGATAAGTCAAACTTTACTCAACTCATTCTTCTTCCATTGATTCATTAATGATGAATTCTCTGGCAGCTGCTCTATTCGTATGTTCTGTACCTGAAAACAGGTTTTGATCTTTGGTTTCATTCTATAATACTGGACTTATTTTTCTACAAAGGTTTGAACTTTGTGTGAAAGTGTGTGAAAGAAGTGTGAAAATGTTCATGCCTGTCTGAGAAAAGTCTACAGAGTGTGTAGTGAGGGGTTTTACAGCCTTAAAACATCTATAATATTTGTAAAAAAATAAAGATTACCAGTTTGCGAATTTTACCTATTGTGGGTTATTTTTAGAATGTAATTCCCGCGATAAACGAGGGACCGCTGTAACTGGGATTCAGTGAACACTTAAGACTTTGTCTTAAAGTCATTTCGAATTTGCACAAAGTAACTACAAATTTATGTTCCTCGGCAGCCCAACTCAGCATGACGATGACACCACAGTCGATGTTCTGGCCACCAACTCAACATCAGAAAACCAGGACCTGCGAACTGAAGAAGATGCTAGTGACAGCGAAGTTAACTCCAGTGATGGCATGAATGAAGATGAGATGTTGGATGGAGACGATGACTGGAAACCTGATCCCAAGCTGCAACTGCCAAAAAGAAAAAAAGAAAAACAAACAAAAAAGAAGCAAGTAGCCAAGTGTTGGATAAAGAGGTTTAAGGGTAAAGTTTCCTGTAAAGTTTGTGGAGTTGGGTACACTCACCTGGCCAGTTTGATGAGACACATCTGGAGTCACGTGGATGAGCCGCAGAGTGTTTGTGGAGTTTGTGGAAAGACTTTGGACTCTGTGGAAAAGTTGAAGGACCATCTTCAAAATTACCAAAAAACTTACAAGTGTTCAATTTGCGGGAAGTCTTTCTACTCCAGAAAGAGCTTGCGGAGCCATGTGTCTTTTCACACAGCAAACAAGCTGTTCAAATGTAACGTTTGTAGCAAAACCTTTCCTCGAATGTCTGCCCTGAGGATTCACCGTTCGATTCATGTGCAGGAGAAACTATACCAATGTGATATATGCCCCAAATCATTTGTTCTTAAGGGACAGCTCACAGCTCACACCAAAACCCACACCAGGAAAGAGCGATACCACTGTAAGATTTGTGGTAAGTCTGTCGCTGATCGCAGGGCTTTGAGCCGACACAAGCTGACTCACACTGGTGAGCGGCAGTATTGCTGCCACATCTGCGGAAAGCAATTCAGACTTCAATGGTCTTTGAAGACTCATGAGAAGATTCACACAGCCAGGGACCAACCGTACCTCTGCCACATCTGCTGCAAAACCTTCACGACAAATCAGACCCTGAAGGCTCACCTGAAGACGCACAGCAACGAGAAGCCTTTTGTCTGCGTCACATGCAATAAAGGTTTTGTGAGCAACAGCGAACTAAAGAAACACTTGCGAGTGCACAGCGGTGAGGCTCCATACGGCTGCACCATATGTGGACGTTTTTTTAAACAAAGGGCTGCCCTAAACTCCCACGTCAAGATCCATGCGGGCATCAAACAGTTTGTGTGTGAGATCTGTGGGAAGGCGTGCTCTCGCAAGGCACACCTGAAGATTCACATGAGGATCCACAATGGAGAGAGACCGTATCAGTGCACATTATGCGAGAAAGCCTTCACTCAGAGCCACTGTTTAAAATCGCACATGAAAACCCACCAGCCCGAAGAACACAAGTCCGCCACTCAGTCCACGCTCTAAGAGACATTTTAGCGCAGGGTCTTAAAAATCAGTCAGTTAAACATTTTAGTTTCCCAAGTTCATGTGCTACAACCTTTTATATTTGTTTGTTTTCTTAAGTCAAAAAAGTATGGAAGTGTTAACAAATTTTTCAGACTATTTTTGGATAGTTAAATGTAAATGTGATTATGATGGCCTCACTATGGTGAGTTTTCCCTGAAATAGAAAAGGAAAAATTCTGTGTATTAACAAAAAACGAATGACTTATTCAGTTATTGATTATTTCTTTTGGAGATTATTTCGTTTTTGGGTTTTTTTTTTACCAAATATGTAGATGAACATTTTAATTTTCCTTTTTCAACTTGTGTTACTTGACACTGCCGACTAAGGTGGAGTCAAAAAAGTAGTTTATGTTCTTCTGTTGAGCAAATCCTCAACTCCAGACTTTCTATCCATAAAAAATTCTATCCATCCATCAAACCAGTTCAGACTTGTGGGTGCTGACTGGGGTCTATCCTAACTGTCAGAAGAGGAAGAGGATGGATGAATGGATAAATATAATTGTTAAAGTGCCACCTTGCCTCAATTGCTGTAGTGTTAGCAATTACAGTATGATTTTTTTCCAGATGAGTCTTGTTAGATTCCGAGGTAGGCTTTGGGGTTTCACTTGTTTGGAACAGCAAAATGTTACAAATCTTACTGTGTGAACTGTGTGCTTAATTTAGATAGTAACATGCTTCCTTGAATAAAAAAATAAACAAAAAGCTTACTGGTACTGAGTTGGACCTCCTTTAGCCTTTAGAACTGCCTTAATTCGACCAGGCAGAAATTCAACAATGTGCTGGAAACATAGCTCAGAGATTTTTCTCCATATTGACATTAAAGCATCGCACAGTTCCTACAGATTTGCTGGTTGCACGAGCATGATGCAAATCTTGGATTTAGAGCATGTTCAAGAAACCAGTTTGAGATTATCTGAGCTTTGTAGCAGTGTGTGTTACCCTGCTGGAAGCACTCATTAGAACAGAATGGGGGAACTCAGTGTCCTGCAGGTTTTAGATGTCTCCTTGAACCAAATGATTCAAAATTACCTCATCAACATGTCTTGAAGTTCTACAGAGGTAATGAACTAATCATTTGGTTGGGATGTGTTGACCTAGAGTGATATCTAAAACTTGCAGGATGGGCCCTTGAGGGCTGGAGTTCCCCACCACCTTGCATTGTTCCCCCCATCCCTAAACTCTTTTTCCTGTGAACACTTTCCTGACGAGCTGCACACATCTAATGTGTTTTACCCATGTGAAAAATAAATACATTTATTCATACACTGCATGAATATATGTTAAAATCTCAAGTGACACAAAAAGAATAATACACTACGCGACGCTATCACATCACTATCACATTACCAATGCTGGCATCAGCTTTAACCTAGCCCTTGGCCTTTGGGGGGAGTTGTGCTTTCACTAAAATCTGTTTTAAACAATATGTGTTGGATATATTACTAAAACAAAAAAAATATGCCTCATTATTTCCTTTGATGGTTTCTATTGGTGATAATTTAATCGGACACATCACAGCAAAACACTTCTGACAGTTGTGCCAGCAAAGCCAGAGGGATCCTCACCCCTGACACCAACACTGAACCTGGGGGTGCCAGAGAGGGAGGAGTCAAGGGTCGTGGTGAAATACAAAAGAGGATTATATCTGAGTGTTCGTGCACAAAAATGTTCTAAATATAAATGTTTTTTATTGTTAATGGAACGTATTGTGTGGGCATTTCTAGGGCCTGCAAATGTAAATTTAAAAAAAAGTGAAATTGAAAAAACAAAACTGTTTTCCTGTGAAAAACTAACAGTTTAATATCTTAAGGAAATACTTTTCGTCCTGTTTTGGCAGTTTCGATTTATGAAGTAGACTGATGAAAGACAGTATTATGGCCACAGGAATAAAGAGCTCAACCAGCCCCGACTCTCAGGTGATTGAGGTTGTAGATGGTTTACAATCTGAACATTTGGGGGGTTTTGTGGGTGTAGAAGAGAAAACTATGAGGAGAGCACTGGAAGAACCTGAGGGAAGAAAATAGCTGTTTGTTGGGGGGTGGGGAGGTCGAGGGGTTTATAAACATCATGGACACGAGTTCATCTCTACAGTAGAGATGAATCACACTCAAAGACTGTCCTGCCACTCTTCTCCGTGCTAACATCTGAATTATCCACAAATCTCTAAATCTACTTTTACTTTAGGTTTCTTTCATATATTCCCTCCTTACAGTCAAGGACAGACAGATGCCCGGCATAGAGGTAAGTATTCATTCTAGTGATTATTGTTATTATTGGATTTTTAATTGAATTATATCAAAGGATATCATGGGTGTATTACCGGCTCTTTGGTCCTTATTTGGGGAAACTGTTGTACGGTAAAGTCATTGTCATAAATAGTCATATTGATATCACATAAATACAAGTTAATTTCTACAAAACTTATTAATTTAACTTCATTTTATTGTAAAGTAAAAAAAATATGTTTTTTATGTTTTGAATGGTAAATTTCATCATAGTCGTCTTTTAAAATTAAGATTTTCATCTACAAATGATAACAGTTTGGTAAATAAAGATATTCATGGCAACTCAATGACTTTTAGAGCAAATATAAATGTAACTAAAATAACAATAAAACAGTTTTAACACATGAAAGTAAACAGAGTAAAAGTGTCAATCAAATGTAAGTGCTTATAAAGCGCTTTTGTGTTGACAGTTACATATTAATGATAGAGAAATAACCAGTAAATGATCATTTGTAATATATAGTGTAATGCATGCTAAGATGATAATGAAATGTACATTTATTCATTCTGACTGCCTGAGTCACTGTAAACTGTGGATTATTGATCTTATTTCAGGAGATGGGACTAAATCCAAACTCTGCAGGGCTGAGCTGTGGCGGTAAAAATCAATAAACATAGATAAAAGTAAGACCATCAAAAAATACATTTTCTGACAACATTCGAAAGTGATTTGTTTCCTTCTTCTGTTTCAGTTAAACTGCAGGCGTACGACTGGTGGCCAGCTGAGCAGCAGCAGTATCTCAATACGACCAGCAGGGGGCAAAATAACACGCCACAGACTCAAAGCACTGCTGCTGATACTGTGAGTGTTTTTATCCCCATCTGTTCACACTGTCAGGATGAGGCCTCGATTCACTTCTGATGAGATGTGTGTGTGTGTGTGTGTGTGTGTGTGTGTGTGTGTGTGTGTGTGTGTGTGTGTGTTGAAACCTTCCCTTAAAGCCAGTATGTTCCCTTTCTAACAGAATCAGTGTTAAATGCAGTCCAGGCTCGGGGTCCACTGTCCCCAGGCTGTTTTCATGTGCCTGATGTGTTGAACACAGTGTGTTCAACACATCAGGCACATGGGAAAAAGCTACAAGCTGCTGCTTTCTGTTTCTATTACGATCAAGACTGAGACACCAGGAAATTGCTGGGCAGAGATCAGCAGCCTCGAGGAAGCTGGGAGTGAAGCACCGATAATACACAAAAGGAAATAAATGTATTCATTATACTAGTGAACATCCTGTTACCTGCCATTTAAATTAAACCATCCATTTTCTCAACTATAAATAAATTAATAGTACAATAAATTATTTAAAATAAACTTTTTCGGATTTGTAATCGTTCAATTTCTTTTTTTAAACTAAATGTTTGAGCCTCTCTCCTTGTCTCTCTGCAGTCCGTCCATCCTCTCGTTCCTCTCCTCCTCTACAGCGACAGACACTTCCCCTCTTCCTCTCTGTACAGCCAGCCAATCAGCACTGCTACTGCTGCTGCCCAGCAGGTCTCCGCCCAGTCCGGGCAGCACGCCTGTTACCACAGCAACAGTGCCTTCAGGTGAGCTTGTGGTGGGTTACTAAAGTTGAGCAGTGCTTCTGATGGAAACCAGTGGTGTGAATGAACTCTGTGCGCTCGTGCCTCTCGCCCTCGGCAGCAGGCAGCCTGTGAAGAAGCCTCTGAACGCCTTCATGCTCTATATGAAGGAGATGAGACACAAAGTGCTGCAGGAAGGCCAGGAGAGAGAGAGCGCCGCCATCAACCGCATCCTGGGCCGCAGGGTGAGAAGCCTGATGATGTCAGAGTGACGCAGGAGCAGGGCAACACAAACACAGTTTCAAAGGGTTTCTTTGGTTGCTGGCTGATGTAGCCCTTTTCACCATTTTTAATGTTTGATGTTTGATTTATGCAACTCTGAGTTTGTTTAATAAGCACTTCCTGTCTCTGTTCCTCAGTGGCACGCTCTGTCCCACTCCGAGCAGTCCAAATATTACGACCTGGCGCAGAAAGAGAGACTCCTCCACATGCAGCTCTACCCTGGATGGTCTGCCCGGGACAATTATGTATGTTTTATTTTATTTCATTTTATTTATCAGAAATTCTCCCTTTGCATGTCTGTGCCTGAAAGCTTCTGCTTCTTTTTTTAATCTTCAGGGTAAAAGGAAGAGGAAGCAGAGCCAGCAGATATCAGGAAGCACTTCCAGGTCGGGTTTTTTTTAATATCCGTCACTGACAGTCCAGTCATATTCATAAATATAGGACATGATGATATTTGAAGGATTTTGGAATTAGTGTGAGTGAATATATGCCAAAAATTCAAAAAATGTAATACACAAAAATATAAGAATAAAATAGAACAGTGTTTTATTTCCCTTTTTAATAATAAATGTATTTATTTTATCAGTGTGTGCTCAGATATGGAGTTTTATGGGAATATTTTAACTTTAGAAGAAAGTGTGTACTTTATTGAGCCCCGTGGGGAAATTGCTCTCTGCATTTAACCCATTCACTCAGTGAAGCAGTGGGCAGCCATTGGGCGCCTGGGGAGCAGTGTGTAGGGACGGTACCTTGCTCAGGGGTACCTCAGGGTAGCTGTTAAGGGGAATCGAACCCCCGACCTTCCGATCATGGGGCAACCACTCTACCTACTGAGCTATCCCTGCCCCTACTTGCCTACACTGAGACTTTTTTAATGTACAGATCCTGATTCTCCCAGTAAAACTTTCAGTTTTATATATTTAACAGTTTTTGAGACATTTGGGAAGTGAGCTGCAGTTATTTTTAAATAAATATATTTAATGGCCAAATAAACAAATAATATTTAAATAAGATTGTTATGACACTATTATTAATTACATACATCAACTGGTTTTAAATAATTTTAATTTTCCAATGGTTTTGTACTAATTACATTGCTTTTGTATTATACTGAGTTTGCTTTCAGTCAGTGAGCACCTGTCTGTACGTGGAAACGAATAATAAACACTGGCATTTACACACCAGGGGGCGCTGCAGAGAAGTGTTAATAATTAACCTAAAGTTTCTTTAAACTATAAAAGTGATACACTGGGGTTTAGTATGAAATAATTACTGTGAATAATCTCATAAAAGCTGAGATTTTAACCACGTGTGTAAAACTATTTTCTGTGAAATACATACAAATCTTTTCTGTTTGTTTACTGCAGCTGGACTCTGAATGCTGGATGAGAGCTCTGAAGGGGGGGGATAATCAGACAATGACAAACAACTACAATGTAATAAAACAGCATGCGTGACTTTTCTGTCTGCGTGTTTGATTCTTTGGCTGTGAACTCCTCCTACACGATGAGGAGTGGTGGTATATCTTAGGTTAATCATCATAGCACCTAACTAAATGTAGTTTATCAGTATGTCAACAGCACGAACAGACCAAACAACACCACTATGGGCATGTAGCAGTAACATTATTGTGTATGCAGGCTTATTGGGGCTACCCAAAACTTTAAAATAGTCAAAATTAAAATAAATCCTCAGATTTTTTTTAATTGAAACCCACTGAGAAAATGACTTGAATCCTTATGAAATGACTGCTCAACTTACCTACTTTTTATCTCTGCTTAAACTGTTAAGTAGTTCAATTTGTCCCAAAAAGTGGACGTAGTGTTTTCAGTGAGAGAAACGCTTTGTCAGAAGGAATAAACTTTCTGAGATTTCCTTACGTGGATGATGGTGAACATTCATCAATACACTTTCATTCGTATTTTCCAATCATAAATCTTTATCTTAAGTTATGATCGTTACACGCTAAACAATAATGTCACTAAACAAACAACCTCTGCAATCTTTTCCTGAAAGATTTATGACTTTACAGCTGATAACTGCCTAGTTCGCATATTATTAAGTTTTTATTTTAACTTAAAAGCCATGACGGTCAGAACAATTAACACTGATATCACAACACAACAACTCAGTTCTTCCTGATACTGCAATGCTGGTTTTGTGACTTACAGAGAATAAATAAATATAACAAAACTTTTTAGAACAAGTCCTAAGCCAAATCTGGATGAAAACATGATAAAAATTGAAATGACAAGCATTCACATGGAATTTACTTTCACATTTTTGACACGTCTGAGGCTTCTTTTGTTCAGTTTTGCAGCATTTTCACGAGTAACCTACAGTTTATTTAAGGTGACAGAAGAAAAGAAAAAATACAGCTGACAAACAGTTGGCCAAAAGAAAGTGGACATTTAAGGATGTGGGTCTTAAAGAGACAGGAGCTTTTTTTTCCTCCAGAGAAGATGTATATGTGAATTGTATGTAGTAGTTCATCTTTAAAACAGAAATATTTAACCATAGTAAACAGTTCTGTGCTCAAATTAAGTCTTTTATTATCAAAGCAAACGTGTGATTGTGGCAGTGTGTTCAAGTCAACATTGGAAAAATGTGAAGAAACATGTTTATAAAACTGTGGAGCTTTCTGGCACAACGACCTTCATTATTAATGCTAGGTACATTAGGTAGAATCAAAGTTTGCAGTAAGGTTTTCTTTCACTGATTGATATGGCATTTAAAAAACAAAAAACACCCACCATTAACTCAGTGCCTTAACACTTAACATTAAGACTTGAAAATATAACTTAAACAACAACAACAACAATCAAGAACATAAAGCTACAAAAACAAATTAATTGACACTGATGAGGACCCACCTGGAGCTAGCACTGAGAATTTGAAGTCAAACCACTTTAAACCACCACAGCCAGAAGGAACTGTAATACTTAAGGGTTTAGTTTATTTTGTGTTAGGTTGCACATCCAGAAACAACAACACGGCTAGTTTAGATTTAGTCTTTTTTTACCATTTGTATGTGCAGCTTCATTTTCCTTAAGTATATCCCAAAGATATAATTAACACAGTTAGCAACAATCCAGACTGAAAAATACAACACAGCTTAGAAGTTTAGCTTTGGCACCACTCTCAGACTAGCTTACAAAAAAATAGTGTCTTTTCTTGTTGGCAGGTTTACGTCATGGATGCTGAAGACATTAAAAATGTTGTTTCTGATAAAGAGCAAGAGCTAATAATGTAAACGCACCGTCTCTTCCTCCTGTGAGTCCTCAGTACAAAAAATGCTGATTCCAATAAATAACCTGAAGGTAGAGTCTCATGTCCACCTCTGTCCATCCGTCCTCTTCAGGAGTCAGGGAGGACAGATGCTGCTGTCATCAGGTGACTTATCTCCCCTCCTCTTTGTCCTCACTTAACTATCATACCTGTCCACTATACTGTATCTCCGTCTGCATGAGGTAGTAGGGATGGGCACTGGCCACCCAAACTCAACGGGAACAGTAGCCTTGACGTTCCCTTCCAGGAATTTGAAGATCCGGTTCCACCAGGTTCTAGTCAGGTACTTGTTGGGTTCCTGATTGTGTACCTGACAGAGCACCACAAGTTAGAAAAGAAGAAACAGTTGTTGTTTTCAGTCAATTTTGAAGTCACTCAGATTTGAACTTGTCCGAGATTTTTAGTAGATGCAGCTATGCTATGAGTTTAAAACTCTTTATGTATCTTTATCTTAATGTAATAATACCTGACACAGTGAAATAACAATAGGCCAAAACAAGATGGCCCAACACAAACACATTCCAAACAAAAAGTGTATACAAAAATGTATAACAAATTATATATACTATGTCCTATCGGCCTTCTCATTTAAATTGATTCCTCCATTTCAAATGCTTTCGTTATTCCTGCAAGTGTTTCGTGCTTCATGACTAACATTTTGTTGCCTGCCCATCATGCTGCTGCTGCTTCTCTATTTGTTATGGAGGTGTGTTGGTTTAAAAATGAGATTGTATGTTTTCATCTGGTCTTGTCTGACTAATTGAAGCAGCTGAAAGAATCCTAAAACCCCAGAACACTGAATAAAGCCAGGAGATGGTGTTACGAGGCCATAACTCAGTGTGTGTCTACTCACATGTGATTCCAGCATGGCGTAGTACCACCGGAAGGTCCAGTTGACGACAAAGTATGCAACCACCACATCGATGCTGTAGTGTTCATGGCCGAGGAGGATGCAGATGAGTCCAAATATGCTCAGGAAAAAGCAGAACCAACGATACCACCAGAACCTGGGCGGGCAGTCTGAACAAAAACAGGGAATACTAATAAAGCAACATGCACAAATTAGTTTAATACTACGGCTAAGTAGTAAAATCAGGGTAATGTGAAGTTAAGAGTTTATTCGTGATAAGTTGCATATCAATGTGTGTGATCATGTAAAAATAAATAGGTGTGTAGTTACTCACACTCCTTGATGAAGAGGTAGGACAGCCTCAGCATGATGGTGTGACCGCTGTACAAATAGTCTCCACACAAGATGTGAGAGCCGGTCACATTCAAACCTGAAGACACAAAGAAATGCAGCGTTTTATGTTAAATAATTATCACATCCATCCATTCGCTTCCGCTTATCCTTTTCAGGGTCACGGGGGGCGCTGGAGCCTATCCCAGCTGTCATAGGGCAAGAGGCGGGGTACACCCTGGACAGGTCGCCAGTCTGTCGCAGGGCTAACACACAGGGACAGACAACCATTCGCACTCACATTCACTCGCACATTCACACCTAGTGACAATTTGGATTATCCAATTAACCTATCCCCACAAGCTGCATGTCTTTGAACGGTGGGAGGAAGCCGGAGTACCCGGAGAGAACCCACACAGACATGGGGAGAACATGCAAACTCCACACAGAAAGACCCCGGCCTGATGGTGGAATTGAGCTCAGGACCTTCTTGCTGTGCGGCAACAGTGCTAACCACCGTGCCACCGTGCTGCCCCGTTAAATAATTATATTATATTATATTCATTCATTTCACGTGATTAAGAACGATGCAGAACTTTTAAAGAAACTCTGCACATTAATGTTGAGTGGACTCGTTTTCTAATGTAACCTTAGCTAATGTTGATAATTGTTGGTGGTGGGAACGAGGCTCCCTGGTGTGAGTGAGCATAAATGTTACATCAGTACTCCTTCTGCATGAATAAAACCCACTGATGATCAATCTCAGATGCCCTAATCTCCGCTGTGTATGCCACAGTGCAATGCAGCAGTGTCCGGTGCTTGAATACACTAGTGTTTCCTGTGAGTCAGTGTTCAGCTACAAGCCAAATACTAAACACTTACTGTACATATTTTATAAATCTAGTTTTACCTCCTCCTGAGACCATCCGGATAATCCGCCACATTTTCTCCGTCACATTGTCGTAGAGCTGCATGGACAGGACAAACGATCTTTAACTGAAGAAGGGCGACTAGTGAACAGGTGAGTACTTAGGTGCACCTTTACATACCTTTGGAGCGCACTCTAAGTGTTTTCCAGGTACCGGCAGGGTGGTGATGTACATGGTGATGCAGCGATACAGGTAGAGCGTTGCAATCATGAAGAAGCACCGCCGAGCCACGATCGCTCTGCAGACAATAACATAAAAGTGTTTTTTCAGTGAGATTCCAATCCGTGTGTCAAAGGACAGTTTGGCAAGAAACTGAACCCCGTTCACAGCTGAATGAGACAAAGCACTAAGTAACCCCGGGGACAACTGGGGGAACACTGTATATAAGAACCAGTCCATTTATTAAGTACTGCAAAAATCTGAGGGAGAAATAAAATTGACTACAACAGAGAGTGGGGACCCAAGATGGAAAACTCCCAGCATTTTATGTGTTTCTAACACAACCACGAGGTAATTAAACATAATTCACTAGCATAACCAGAAATGCTGACAATAACAACAAGTTAGGAATTAGTGACGTGCCTTTGCCACAGATCAAAACACCTTTGCGATCAGGAGATGTGGGAAAACTTTCTGTCGGAAAATCCCTGTAGTGATTGTTAAATGCACTGGAGCATGCCTCACTAACGCTCCGTCAACTACAATTAAACCACGTAATGCACGACACTGTGAAACTCGTGCTCTGCAAGAATGTGAGTTTAAAAGATCACACTGACGTTTACTCCATAAGGGAGGGGAATTGGGCTTGGGTGCAGTACGAGTGTTAGTACACCTTCAATCCTTAGTATTACCTGTGTTTAAGTGCCAGCCACTGGACGAGCCACAATCCACAGAGAGTCAAGCCACAGGCCTCTGTTGCTTTGAAGGCCCAGGGCACTCTGTCAATGTAGTCGAAGAACTTGTCAGGAAGCGGCGGAATCACAGATTTGTCAGGCACCCGTTCATGGATGATAACGATTATGACAGCGTTGAAGACGAGGGCGAAGAAGGCGTAGATAAAGGACACGCCCGTTTTCCACCACTCTTTAGGGAGAGGGTCGTCAGACTCCTTGGTGATCTTGTCGTAGTTGCAGCGTTGCTGTATCTTGTTGCACAGCGAGTTTATCAGCTGGTTCTCTTTCAGCACTTCAGTAATTTTTCTGCGCCTGCCTTTGCCGTCACCATCGAGAACATCCTCAGAATGAGGTGTCCGGGAGATGTGGTGAGTATGGTTGGGCACCTTCGTAGACTGAGGAGGTGAAGGCGGATCTGTCGAAATCACCTCTATGCAGTTTTTATCATCTTCCTGGATCAGTTCTGATGCTGCCATTGAAGTCTTTGGCAAATAAGTTCTCTGATTTATGTGAAAAAGTTTAATGAGTTCTTTGATCACTCACAAGAGTGAGCTTCTGTGTCAATAATGAAGAAGTCCGACTGTCAGCAGCGATTGAGCTCCTTGGTCTGCAAACCATTTGGTATTAACGACAGAGCAGCGATCTTCAGTATTTGCAGTGACGTCACAGAGAAAGCAGGTGACCGGCATAAACCTGAAAAAAAGAAGACCATGAGTAAAAAAAATAACTACAACTACAACTCTGTTATGAGTTATCAGTAAGGATCTTATATAGACTCGCATTAGTACACCTACATAACCCAAACAGTTTCACTACGTCGTACATCTGCAGTGAAATAACGTAAGTTACAAAAACAGAAACTAAGATAGACATTGCATGTTGAGCGTGTCAGAATCAGATTACATTAGAGTTTAGATAACAATAATCAGATGAACTTACAGCATCTGCCCTTCTCATCCATCAGATAAAGTTTTTCAGCTGAATCTTCAGAACAACGATGAGTTTCAAGAACTCTCCTTTCACTCACTGAGTATCACGCTACACCTGCAGTGTGGGTTTGTCTTATATTAGCGGCATCACCATTAGCCCAGATCTTTACTAAACTGCATAAAGTGAAAATTGTACTTTTTCATTAGACCTACTCCATAACCTCAGCCCAGAAACCGGTCTTGTATTGACACTACAAATTTCTCTCTGCTTCTTTTTCTGCTGCCATTTCTCAAATCGACTGGAAGTGCACGGATCAACTTAAAAAGACGAACTCCGCTGCCAGTTCTTGCTTTGGTGGTGAAATTGAAATAGTCACACTGGCAACACTATCAGCTGCTTGTGTGGAGGATCTACATGTGTTCAACACAGAAGTACAGATTAATCTTTAAATGCATTGTTGTACAACACAGGTACTCATTCTGGTCTCCCTTACAACTCAAGTCCCCAAAATACTGGTAATACCAGCTCGCACACTATCATGTAACTCTCTTAAAAGCAGACCTTTACCATCCATTCATCCAACCTTTTTCTGTTTATCCATTTCAGGGTCACAGCAAGTCATTCTGGTCCCTCTTAGGACATTAAGTCCTCACAGAGTGACTGTAGACAGACTTACGTCCCCACAATGTCAGTAATACTGGTATACACACACCTACACCCGGAAGCCCACATGACTCCAGAGAATTTGGCCTTTAGTAACCTGAGGATGACACTCCCTGCAAAGCCAACACGCCCACACAAACACAGTGTGTGAACCCACAGCTGCTGACACGTTCTGACAGCATGCCACCTGGGACAGACACCGCCATTTCAAGTCTTCACCTTCAGGATCAGTATCTGCTGATAATGTGCTGATAAACCTCCCACGCCCTTCCTCGTTCAAGAAGCAAGGCGTGGTTTGACAAATAACAAAATGATCATTAAACTTCAGTTTAAAAACATAAAAACTGGGCCAGCATTAGAAACGAACATGACTATTCAATGAATCCAAGTTCATAGTTTGATACTGACTTACATGTTATTTGAAATTATAAGGATTTATTCATCGACTTCTAAAATAAAATGTGCACTTGTAAACCCACTGCTGATAAATTCCTCCTGAGTGTGTTGCCTTTCTACCAACACTTCACACAGGAGTGCATGTCTGACATCACCTGTGTGTGAGCATCGCCATGTGAATGTTTTCTAACCAGTCTCACCCGACAGAATTACTCAGGCAAGACGTTTCCATGAAAATAAACTGTTCACAGCTGTATGAAAGATGCTAAATGATAATTAGTTAGTTTTAAGCTTGAAAAGTTGAACTTTTTTTTAGAAAAAAAAAGTAGTAAAGTAGAAAAAGTTGAATATAATACAATAAAGTGATTCTATAAAGTGACTACAGCTGTCATTGCAGTTTCTAGGTCCCCAGCCCCAGTTAGCAGCTGGTGGCACTGTAACATATTTGAAATGATAACTGTGTTTATAGAATACATTTAACTGTGTAGCACTTCTGTCACCAACCAGTAAGATTTAAGCATCCAGTTGAACATCCCACACCCCTGATACTTTTAGGGAACCAATCATGTTGCGAAAAACAAAAACCCTAAAGAAAAAAAAAAAAAGAGTAACTGTGTCCCTACGAACAGCAAATACAGAAAAATCCAAATAACTACCTTTTCATACTTTGTCCCAAACACAACTCCTGCTGCCCACCATCAGCTGCTCTGCCCTGAATGAACCTTTATTTGCTTTTCTGCTCCCGTTTGGTTTCATTTTAGCATCATTGTGTCAAAAGCTCCACTTTCTGCCCTGAACTGGCAGAAAAGTGGCCTCTGCTCAGCTACCAAGCTACATCCTGTTTACAGAGCAGCAGAAACGAAGTCTAATCGAGTTACAGGCATGAGAATTCAATTTCACCAAGTTAGAGCTGATTCATTAACCCAGGACACACGAGTTTTACACTGCTGCAAAGCGCCCAACTTACCTCACTGAGATAGTAAGATAAAGAATATTTTCATCTTTCACTCACCAGAGAATGTGTTTAGCCAAAAAAAAGCACAAAATTCAGTCACAAGGATTTAAAACAGAACCAATGGTCACACTGTGAGAAGAGCAGGCTTCATAACAGCCTATGTACTCACTGAAATGTCAAATGAGTAAACTTACCATCGTTTAAACAAATAAAAGTAACACAAAGACGTAATATTGTAATATAGCGTTATAGAAAACATAAATAACCTCATTAATGTGCTGGAACTGATAAATACAGTCACATTTCTATCAGACTTATTTGTCTGACCAGCTGATTAATGATTCATTTGTTTTTAGAGCAACATAATGTTTACAGTCACTGGCCACTTTTTTTTTTTTTAGGTACACCTGATAAATTGCTCATGACTTTGAATGTGACATTGCTGTTTATGCAAGATGGGCTGATCTGCTGGGATTTTCACACATTTAGCATTTATGAATGCATGCAACATGTGGAACCTTGAAGAAGATAGGCTGCAGCAGCAGAAAACCACACAGGGCACCGCTCCTGTCAGCTAAGAACGGGAATCTGAGGCTACTTTTCGATGGTACGGTCGGAATATGGGGTGAACAACAGGAAAGCGTGGACCCATCCAGCCTTATATCAACAGTTTAGGCTCCTAATGGTGTGATTTGGTATGGGGCACAGCTTGCTTGGCACACTTTGGGCCCCTTATAATCCAATGAGCATCATGTAAACACTACAGCTTACCTGACCATGTCCATCCTTTTATGACGATGGCTGCTTCCAGCAGGAAAACACACTGTGTTACAAAGCTTAAATCATCTCAAACTTCTTTCATTCCAACTTACTGTACTCAGATGGTCTGCACAATTACCAGATCTCCATCTAACAGAGCACCTTTGGGATGTGCAGCCAAATAAATCTGCACCAACTGTGTGAAGCTAAATGTCCTCCTTGAATCTGTGCCACAAGGAACTTATGGCAAAAAGGAGTCCAGCCTGGTATCTGTTAAAGTGGCTAGAGAGACAAGCTGGAAGTATTGTACTGATACCTGCCAATTAATCCTTTATACCAGCTGAATTAAACACAATGAAAACACATCTAATATGCAAGCGTTGAATCAAAGACTCAACAGAAAGGCAGGAATGACATGTTTAAAAATGTGCCACAAAACAGCAAACAGCCACGAACTTTGAGTTAACTTTCTGCTAATTAATGACTTATTAGCCAATCAACAACTGATCGATTAATTAGTCTGAAAATCCCATTAGCACAACATTAACAAAAGTAAGAAGGAAGTAATTTTAAGCTTTACTTTGATAAACAGAAGTTAAAATTAGTTCACGTTAAATAATTTCCAGCAACTAAAAACAAACGTTTCGTGACTCTTTGACGAGTCTGATATCGATTAACTGGCTTATCATTTAAAAGGTGTTTGAACCCCACTCTCTGATAGAACAAGTACAAATTCACACAAAAAAAATGGTGTGAACATGTCAAAACCGTGAAAACCTACTCCGATTTAACGTTAAAAGTTACATTTCGTGTCCACGGCTTCGGTAAGCCAGTGTACGTCTCACATTTTAACTGGTGCAACGTAAACAGGAACTCAAACACACCTGTCGGAAGGTGCACGCGCGTTTCCCGTTCGTTTTAGGTATAAAACAGGTTAAAACAATTGTTAAAAAAGTTTTAACAAAAGAAAAACAAAACTGCAGTTTGTGCGCGCGAAGACGGACAAAAACAAGACTAACTTTTTGTCACCTTTCCTTCCACTTTTTCACCTCCTCCTGTTCCTCCTCTTCCGTCTCCTGGTTAAGTGACACCAAGGTTCATCTGCACGAGCCTCTCTGTGCTGGTGAGAAACTGCGCCCCGCCTCCACATGTCCCTCGTTTGACTCCAAATATGGTGATGCTGCTTCCGCCTGCATCGCGCCTGCACCGCTGACTCAACTCGAAACGGGCCGTGACTCACCTGAGATCGACTTCTCTCGCGGGACCTTCCGTCAAACGGAGAGACAAATGTACGGAAGCTCGTTTTTACCAGAAAAGTTACAAACAATAAAACTAAAAATAAACATTTACAGCTTGACAGAATCAGAGTTGTGATGATGAGAAAAAGAATGAGGCTACCAATAAAACATTTTTCATTTCCTAATTAGGTAATGAATGAAGGCGATATTTGTCTAAGTGATGTCAGCATTCCTAACACCTCAGGTATGCAGGTAAAGAAACAAAAGCCGGTCATGGCAGAAAAACAAACATTTAATTCACTGAGTCACTTTTAATCTTGAAGTCAATGATTAAACAATGTAGGCAAAAAAAAGGACTATTTATAGGTTTTATTTTTATAAGTATTAATCGTATATGAATAAATTGACATTGCTATTATTTTAATATAAATCTTTTACACTAATATGTTTTCTGCATGTATTTGGACCAAATTTATACCATAAATCAGAGATGGGGGGGGGGTCAGACACATTTAAATCTCTGTGATATCTTAATATAAAAACGTTAAAGAAATTCTCCTTTAGATAATGAAACAAAATCTCTCACTGTGACTTTTTTTTAGCTTAAGTTTGTAAGAATTTGTAAATTACAGAAAAATTTCTGGTAGGTCACAGACACTTTCTGTTAATAAACCTTTTTATGTGTACTCATTGCAAAACCAGTCAACTGTTAGAAACAGTTGCAGAGTGTGCTTTGCAGTTGTTTAGGAATGTGTACGAATAGCCACGGGGAGGTCTTTGAAAAGCTGTAAAATATGAAATCACAGTTAAAAGCCCAAAATGTGTCTTCCTTTACACTTTCAAAAGCTTCCGGTGGGCCTGAGTGGAGTGTGGTCGAGTCTGGCATCTGGGCTTTATGTTTGACACCCTGCCTTAAGTAAATCAGTTTTAAAATATGCATTCAAAAATGAACCATTTTAAAAGTTAGAGGCATATAAATGATAAATACGTCAAAAACACATACATATAATAGGAAAAAAATGTGGATATGGACAATAAGCTAAACTTCGTAGAATTCACAAAAACAATTTGTGAACTGATTAAAGTATTTAGTCAACTCATTTTATTCAGCACATCTAAACAGCAAACACCAAAGTGATGTACAGCATGTAAATATATCAAAATCAATTCATAAAACGATAATCTACAAATTAAAGATGCAAAGATACAAATGAAGTGTTAAGTGCTATCTAATGACAAATAAAAATAAAACTAAAAAAATCAATAAAAAGACTCATTTGAAAAGAGCCATGTTTTAAACCTGCTCTTAAATACTGTTAGTGAGTGAGGTAAGTGACATATCTGAACAGCAATACACTAAAAACTGAGAATGCTCGCTCAGTTGTACGAGTCAGTTGTATGTGTTAGTCGGGACTCTGCAATTAGTAACAACCTCACCGAGGGGTGTGAGACACTGTACTGTAAGAGATCTGATAAATATTCTGGAGCATACCCAAGCAAGCACTTACATGTGAGTAACCATATTTTAAAATAGATCTCGTACGTCACAGGATGCAAGTGTAACAACATAAAAACAGGCCAATGAAATTATTGTTTTTGTTGTTATTATTATAATTATCATTGTTAGTGATTTATTATTGAAATTGTCTCATTTCTCGTTGGGTTGTAATACCAGATGGTTCCACCAGAGCGAGCTCACTGTCGACTAAAACCAAACACACTGAACTGAATCAGATCCTCTCAGTATATATACACAGTGACCACAGGGCCAGCTGTTAGAGTTAATGTTTGTATCTGGAGGTTATTGTCATGGTCCTGAGTCTGAGGACTCAGTGTTTTGTGTTTCCTTATGCTTTTGTTCATTCCGAGTGTGTTTTCTGTTGTGATTTTGCCATTTGTTAGGTTTCTGTTCTTTGCCTGCCTTCTCCCACTTCTCTGTGTTCCCTCTGTCTGTCCATGGTGTTATTGTGTCTGCTCATGAGTCTGCCTGTCAAGTTCAGTGTCCTGTCTGGTTCTGTGTCTGTTAGTTTCCTGTTTTATTCTGAAAGTTCATGTCTCATGTCAGTGTGTTCAGTTTTACCTCTCCCCTGTCTCGTTAGCCTTATTGCTCCCAGCTGTGTCTCCCTCCTGTGGCCCATTCCCTGATTACTCCCCGTGTATTTAAGCCCTGTGTTTTCCTGTGCTCTCTGTCGGGTCGTCTGTTTAACTCCATGTCCGTCTGCATCATTCTGTGTAACCCGGTGTTCAGTCTGCATCTCTCCGCCATCTTTCTTTGTGCATTTTGCTCCTCCTCCCGTGCGTGTTTGGTTTAAGTTGAGCTCTTTAGTTTTCCACAGTTTAGGTTGGTTTTCTCCCCGCTCTGCTCCTCCTGTTTTTGTCACCTTATCACCTCTGTAAATAAACATTCACTCGCACCCCAGTCAGTGCCTGCATTTTGAATCCTTTTCTCAATTCACCACACGACTGCTGCGCAGCCGTGACAGTACAACACAACAGAGAGCACAGGAAAACACAGGGCTTAAATACACGGGGAGTAATCAGGGAATGGGCCACAGGAGGGAGACACAGCTGGGAGCAATTAGGCTAACGAGACAGGGGAGAGGTAAAACTGAACACACTGACATGAGACATGAACTTTCAGAATAAAACAGGAAACTAACAGAGACAGAGAACCAGACAGGACACTGAACTTGACAAGCAGACTCATGAGCAGACACAATAACACCATGGACAGACAGAGGGAACACAGAGAAGTGGGAGCAGGCAGGCAAAGAACAGAAACCTAACAAATGGCAAAATAACAACAGAATACACACTCGGAATGAACAAAAGCATAAGGAAACACAAAACACTGAGTCCTCAGACTCAGGACCATGACAGTTATGTTTCAGCAAATGTGAGATCATTTGCAAAAAAAAGTCAAAATTATCCTATTAATACACATTATGGACATGAATTTTGAGGCTGGTGCTTATTTTAAAGTAAAATAAAATAAAGAATATGAAATAAACCCTGATATTGATGTTTTGTCTGCAATCCAAACACGCATTCCTTTAAGTAGTTATTTTGTTTTTAACCCCATCTAGTGGAGAAAAGTGGAATTACAACACTGCAACTTCTAATATCGAAATATTTTTCTCCAGCATTGCTGTAAATAAAAGTGATGGTCATCGAAATATAAAAGCACCATCAGTATTTTTAAATTATTGTAATGAATGGTTTATTGCTATTATTCAGTGTTTTAAGTTTACAGAAGTATGTATCTTCTAACCACACTGCTATTTCTGGAGAAATTGTAGTGGCATTGTTGCTAATGTCAGAGGAAAGGACATTGGCTGCCAAGATTCTGAGATGTCATCAATTAAAGGAATCTAAAGTCTAATAAGTCTAAGAAGATTATCGTTACTATGTATCTGTTGCTATGCATCTGTTACTAAGAGCAGTAGTCCCCAACCTTTTTTGTGCCACAGACTGGTTTATGTCTGACAATATTTTCACAGACTGGCCTATAAGGTGCCACGGATAAATACAACAAAATAAAACCAGTACCAGTACCAAAAAAGAAGATCTGTGGCCCAGGGGTTGGGGACCGCTGACTAAGAGGAATTGGGGGGTGGGTGCCTATGCCTCCACTCTGAACATTACAGTCCTTGAACTGAATGACAGGTGTTTTTTCTGTTTTTCTGTTTCTTTTCTTCTTCTTCTGCTCCTCCTGCATTTGTCCTTTAGCTATTAGTTGGGTAAGGAAGATGTCCTCGAAACCAATACGCTGCTGTAGGTGCTGCTGGATTTTGGACCTCATTCATGATTTGCTTTCACTTCTTGTGATTGGGGGCTATGATGTGGGCTTCCTCGATGGAAGGTATTACTTTTTTTTAAAAGTCTTCCTTCATGTGGACTCTTCACGTTTTCTTTGGCGGAAAGCATTACACCTTCCACTGGGCTAGTCTTGATCCAATTTCCATAAATTTGTCATACGTTGCCAAACCATCAAAGTCATCGTCGCTGTGTTTGTTTTACAACTGGCGACTGGTCATTAGATCAGGGGCTACCTTCTCATTTCTTAGGTGGTCTAGAAAGGGACACCCTAAGAATTTGCTTGAAGGGAACGCTTTCGGAACACCTCCAATTTGCTAATGTCGGTTTTGAGAAAGGTCCATGTCTCAGATTAATGCAGATGGATAGATGAGGTGAATCTTGGGGGCCACACATTACTGTTCTTCTAAACATACAGATGCAAATTGACCCAGAAGGGTTCATACCCTTTTCACACATTCATACGTCGATGTATATTGTAATAACATTGTTATTGTGAATTTTTTTATTGTGAGCCACAACAACCTTGTGACAGCCATGCTTTATATTTAAATGTGTAGTTGAAATTGTGACAAAACGCACATTTTTACAATTCATAGTCTTCAAAGTCAGTGTGTCTGAGATCAACATCAGACATGAAAACACCTGAAGTATTTCAAAACTGTACAATACTTGAGTGTAAATGTAACCTCCAGTCATTTCTTCCTCTCGGGTCTTGTGGGATTTAAATAGGGAGGTGTTTGACCTTTCACCTCCAGCTGGAGATGGAAGCTGACAGCTGACACACAGCATATCAGAGGCGAACACACACTCTCGGCGAGCTTCTGTCTGTGAGCGGCTGGCTGACCAACAACATCCTGCTGCATGGACAACACCGACAACCTGTTTCACCCCAGGTACGAACACCTGAGTGACTTTTAATCCTCCGCAAATCCTCACTTTGCTCTGTAGGCAGTTGCAAACATGGATCTGTGAGTGGAAATGTAAAGGCTGAATCTGTATAATCTATTTGTAAAGCTGCTGAGGAACTGTCATATACTAAACATGAAACTGTTCTGTATATGGCATGTTTAACATTTTTTTTGGAACTG